CGGTCTAACTAAACGGTGATTAACTGTGTTGGGACAGAGGCTTTAGACGTTATACAGGCGTTTTTGAACCATCTCCCTGATGATTAAAGGCCGGCGCAGACTGACGTCGCGGCACGGCACGGCACGGCATGCCGCGGGACGTCGAAGCGCGTCGCGGCATGCCGAAGCGCGTTGCGGCATGCCGCGGCACATTCGCTGCGCGCCATTCGCCGAAATCGCCGCCGCACTAGTTTCAAACCTTATTTCAATTAGTTTAATTGTCATAATTCTGTGACCGACGTGACTTGCGGGACGTCTGTGGAATGAAACGGCATGCCACGATGTGCCGCGGCGTACCGCGGCGTCCTGCGGCATGCCGCGGCATGCCACGACGTGTCGCGGTATAATTGTATCGAAATAAAGTAATATGACTTCTAACCTCGATGAAATAAGGATAAAAATAACTTGATCAAAAATAAAATCCTTTGCCGTGCCGTGCCATGCCGCGACGTCACTCTGCGCCGGCCTTTAGGCAGTTGATTTTGCGATAGGCCACCATTATACCTATCTCCTGTTTTCATTCCCCTTTCTCTTTAATTTACAATTGTGCTTCTGCCGTATAGGTAATCTGACGAATCCAAGAATCTGCCCGACCCACGAGTCTGTAGAATAGCAAATTAGTTCTGTATTATATTATATATTATATAAATCCGCGGGTAATAGGTCCCCGATTCTACGAACATCTACCCACAGACCTGAAAAGTGTTAGAAACGATGAAACGTTTTGTACCCGACTAAAAAACCTTTTATTGGATATTGAATTGTACAGTGTCGATGAGTTTCTTTTGAAACAATTTTAATTTTATTTTATTCGACAAGCAGTAGTTATACTATTTTATTTTACATTCATTATTATTATTATAATTTTATTACTGACGATCATAGTTATCCCTTGACATTGTATTTCCAATTGCAATATTGTGATATTGATAACATGAAATAAACGATTCTATTCTATTTTATTCTATTATTCTGTACGAATTTGTCATTCAACAAAAGTTGTTGTCTATGATGTTTGGTTATCCTCAGAGGTTTTACAAAACACATGCGAATTTAGATCCGGGAAGAAATAGTTTCAGTATTTATGTACTTCACGTGATGCAAGGTTATTCTCTAGTATGATGTACTGTTGCTTGATTATTCATCTTTGTTTACACTGTAATATACATTATATTACCATCTTGGTGGCCGAATGGTTTGCACTGTGAACGCTGGAAGAGAAGGTCTCGGGTTCTATTCCGTATAGTTGGATCAATATGGGAACTTAGAATAATAACGCATAGAAACCTAGTCCGCACACACTAAGTGAGGCAAATTGAAGCGCACCCAAAGGGCCTACATGAGCAGGCGGGCCTTCAGTGCTCAAGGTCAACTTGCACCGCGAACAGCTCCAGAATTTTAGCTAAAAATGACGAAATGTGCGGTAAATGAGTGTAAAAATACGTCAGACAAACATAAAATAGATACTAACGTCACATTCCACAAGGAAGTAACGCGTTTCAACTTGTATTTTTATATAAATATTCACTAAAACCGAAAATTAACCAACTACTAAAACTAGCCTACATGAATTTGATTTTTTTTTGAGTTCGTTTGATATGAAACTATCATTCTATGCGTTATTATTCTAAGTATGGGAAATTGTTTTTTCGAAATTGGTTCTGGCCTGAGTGTTCTGGATATACGGGTATAATCCTTCTACAAATTTCCGATCGCGTCCGAGCGGTAGCGATGATACCCATATGGCCACGTCGTCGCCCGAGTGGCCGCGTCGTTCGGTCGAATCGGCTTAATGCGACGAGTGTAGTAAAACACGACATCCTTTTAGGCGTTTTGCGCACCGCATCCGATTCGTATTCTATCCAAATCCGAGACTATATAAATCTAGAAAACTCGGCCCACTTCGGATGTCGCTTGCATATCTAGAGATAAAATATCCCTGTGACTTTTCCAACCGTCATTTCTTGGATTCCGAACTGATACGAATAGAACGTAGTGCATAAACGCTCTTAAGCCGATTCCAGTAAAATTAAGATTCCGATAAGAATAGTGACGAGATAATCTCAGTACAGAGTACTAAAAAAACCGACCTCAAAAGTACGTGGAATTACGTCTATTTGCTAAGTTTCATTGAAATATCCCCTAGTTCGCCACTATACAGGACTTGATACTAGAGATAATAAAAATAGGTTCTCACTACGACACTACTCAAAGTATATCGAGAGAAAAACGCCTTGAATTGGAGAAATAGCAAAATCAACCATTAAAGTAATTGCTCCTAAATTAAAGTTAGGCGCTATTTATAAAAATGAATCTTCATGCGTGAACAGCCACCATTCGAGGTGGATGATTTTCGTCAAAATGAAATGGGACCACTATGGAAGTACCCCCTTTCCAACAAAACAGGAATCATGAAAATCGGTTCACAAATACCGGAGTTATCGCGTAACATACAAACAAAAAAAAAAAACAGTCGAATTGAGAACCTCCTCCTTTTTTGAAGTCGGTTAAAAACACATCACAATCACAATTAACAGTATGTCAACAATGCAATCGTCTATTTCCATAAAACACGATTAGTTCCGAAGCGTGGACTTAGGAAAATAGTAAACATGTACACGTTTAACGTATCATACATTGTATTTTAAGAAGAGTGGATATACTGACACTTAACTCCACAAATAGTGTTACATAGGAACAAACAGTTTCGTAACTTTTAATGCAGATACGGATAACGTGTTTACTGAGCACTCCAATGTTATTTTGCAATTGTTAGTTCAAACGTTATTGCGTTTATTCCCTTTGTTGTTCCTTTTTTTTTTAGAAAAATACGTTAAGTGCAGCCCATCGAGTATATAACCAGAAATAGAGACGAAATAACAGCCATATATTCCTGGTAACACATTAGCGATACAGCTCTTATAAATATCAATTCCCGTTTGCACTGAAATATAGACAGGCCAAGTATTGACCTGTGTGTACGTCTCCGTATATTCCAAAAAATATTCTGTATTTATTGTAATGAAGATAATATCTCTAACAATGCCGTGCTTTTCTATTCTACGGTGGTATGGGAAAAACAGCAAAACATCTAATTACAAAACAAACGGAATCAATTTTCATCGGTAATTAAATATTAAATATGTAATTTTGCAATTTTCGTCCCTTATAGCAAAGCTCAAGTTAACTGGTCGTTTTGAAGTGAAACAGTTGACGACACCCGTCAATTGTTTCGAACTCGGGCTAGCCAATCGGAGCGCAGTTGTCGCAGTAATGATATGGCAGAATAGTTTTCAAACAAATTAAATGACATTTCCTCTCTATTTCTGGTTATATACTCGATGGTGCAGCCTAAGTGGCTGAGGTTTAAAAAACGAATTTTGACTTCGATTAAGCAAAAATGGTAAGCTAAGCAAGTTTTTTACAAAATGAACTTTGCCAAAGTTTAAGCAAGAAATTACGAATTAAACTCAAAGTTTAATTTAATTTCTTGCCTAAACTTCAACAAAGTTCATTTTGTAAATACGCAAAAATTGCTTAAATCGTTTTATATTTTTCAAAATTATTTATTAAAATTAATTAATGAATAATTATGAGACTAAGTATTATGCACTTTTACCACTATACCACCGTGTTTGCTTGCAAATAAACTATTTCAATTTCATTTCACTTTTATTACATTTCATTTATAAATATGTCTGTCGAATCAAAACGCAGTGGAAATACCTTTAAAATCTTAAAAATGGCGTCAACATCCATTTTGAGACTTCCTGGAGTGTAACCGCTGACCCATAGAAATCATAAAACACTCAATAGTTCGTTAAACAAACTATTAAATGTCCTTGAAGAAATAAAAATAACTCAACAACGTGGAAAAAGAAGAGAAGGGCCTCTTGCAAGCACTCTATTAATAATTTGAAAGGCGTTGAAATATTGACGCGAGGTTGAGTCTATTTTCGAACAAGACTTATGGACTCGAAAACTACACACACCGAGCGCGGTTGCCACATCAATTGCTAATTCTAAGTACCGCGCGCGTAATTCAATAAATAATAAAATATATTTTATCTATATACAGTGATCCAACGGAAGTTTCGTAACGGAAACAGATGTCAAAATCTTAGCGGAAACGGAAACGGATGCAGAAACAGAATTGTGAGTACCATAAAGACGTCAACGAAATTGCTCCAAACAGGACTTGATTTTAGTTGCTTAATACCACTAAAGGGAAGTACGACCACCTCACCTATTTCTGCCGCCAAGCAGTAATGTCAGCATTACTGTGTTCCGGTTTTGAAGGGTAAAGGTGCTGGTGAAATTACAGGTACATGGGACTTGTCAATTTACCTCTCAAGGTGACGTGCGCAGTGGCAGTGCCCCTCAGATTGCGATTTAAAATATCTGATTGGCATTGCTACTGTTATGGACAAGCGCGTAGCTTACCATCAGGGCACGACTTGTCTGTCCCGTCATTTGATATTATAAAAAAA